ACACCAGGTAGTTTTACAGTAAATATTCCGTCCAAGAATTTAGAACAGAATATCAACCTGTTTTTTCTTTTGTATTTTTTTGAAGTTCCTTGGAACGTAATTTTAGTTCCTTTACTAATTTTAAGCCTTTCAAAACATTATACAGATAGCGACAAACTGACAACAATTTCTCTTTCGTCATTCTGTTTTTGTTTGAGCTTTATATTTACATTTTACGTATGCTACTTTCCAAAAGAACCTTCTTTATATTTGAATAATATCTCATGTGACTTTGAATTGTGCCATTTAACACGTGGAAAACTATAGACGGAAAATCCGCTATAACAACGCCACGTGGAACATTGAACTGTACCACTTAACACGTGGAAAACTGTGTGACGGAATATTTACTGTAAAACTACCTGATGTGACTAACTTGTACCACTTAACACGTGGAAAACTGTTCTTATTCTGAAAAATATCATACATTAGATTACTATTTGTTATATTTGTCCTTATGTAATTGCTTTCGAAGTCTCCAAGGAAGAAAAAATATTGTTCGCTCTTTGTTTTTCTCCTTACGGAGTGGGAGCTTAATAAAAATAAAAAATAAAAATAGGAGGAACAGGAAAGCATTGCTTATTTTTCAGTAACTTGTTAAAGTTAGTATTCATGGTCTGAAATTGATCTCGAGGGACAGAAATCTCAAGCAGTGTGAAAAATAGAAGTTTGTCTTACTCATACAAAAATTAATGTATGACAATGGTTTCCGTCTGATAAGTCATTCTTCTTGTCTTATAAATAAGAGCACTTAATCTATGACAATGGTTCCCGTTTGCAAACCCATTATTCTTGTCTTATAAATAAGAGCACTTAATCTATGACAATGGTTCCCGTCTGCTAACCCATTCTTTCTATCTGATAAATAAAAGCACTTAATCTATGACAATGGTTTCCGTCTGCTAACCCGTTCTTTCTATTTGATAAGTAAGAGCACTTAATGTATAATAATGGTTCTCATCTGCTAATTCATTCTTTCTGTCTGATAAATAAGAGCACTTAATGTATGACAGTGGTTCCCGTCTGCTAACCCATTCTTCTTGTCTTCTAAATAAGAACACTTAATGTATAACAACAATTCTCGCCTGCTGACCCATTCTTCTTGCGTGACAAGACAACAGCCTGTACGTCGTCAGGCGCCATTACCGGCATGTTATAAAGAAATCTACAAGTTTATTCGAGTTGAGTAATTTGTCAAAACTTGGATATCACTCCTGAATGAATGACATTATAACTTATTGATTTAGAAGACAATCAACCTCTTCTACATTCTTATAATTAAAGTATAGCTAATTAGGAAGCCTTTTCATTGTTCATTAATATTCTAGATAAAATTTTTAAAAAAAGTTCGAGGTATACGAGTACCACGTGGGCAAATATTTATCTTAGGAAATTTCCAAGTTCCCAGATTATAAAACGTCATGAAAAGAAATCACGTGAACCATCATATAAAACAAAGCAACCTTAGTTCAGTAGACAACGTTATTGAATAACATAGCTAATTAAGAGGGTGACTATTGTAGCAACATAAAGTAGGCATACACGGTTTTCGAGTCTCCTGAGCAGCGATTTTCTTGGGCTTTCCTCACTAACTTATCACATAAACTGCTTTATACTCTATGGTAAGTGTGTTTTCGGCTACAAAGTGTTAAATGTTTGTTTGATGTGTGCATGCTTATCTATAGCTTGGATCCCGAGTCGACTTTATGAATGAAAGATATATACCTACAACGGCCAACAGTTCCTTATCTTTATACGAGTGGCGCATCCTGCTTCATTTACTGATTCTTTTTTTTTCAGTGCTTATTGTTTTCCTGTCTTGCATTAGGAAGATAGCAGTGAAATCATTTTATCTATGGAGCTTGGCAGTAAGAACAAAGAATATTTGTGTGGCATCGTGAAGGTTCTAGATGGAAATTGTTAATGGTAGTGTCATCACGTTCGTTTCTGTTCTGGACTTTTCCTCAAGTCTGGAGCTGGAGTATATTTGGCCCGGCATGGCCAGGTGGTTAGGGCGCTCGACTCGCAATCTGAGGGTCGCGGGTTCGAATCCCCGTCATACCAAACATGCTCGCCCCTTTCAGCCGTGGAGGCGTTATAATGTGACGGTCAATCCCAAGAGTTGGCAGTGGGTGTTGATGACTAGCTGCCTTCCCTCTAGTCTTACACTGCTAAATTAGTGACGAAATGTCAGATGTGAAGGAATAAATATATTGTAGAAATCTGCCACTCCACTTTTGTACAAATTTACATTTCTTGTTATTCCAGGTCAAATCAAACAATATTTCCTGTTGAAAATGTAAAAAAATCTCTTATATGGAAAAATGCATGCTAAGGCATGAGGAAATTATAAAGAACAAATTCGTGTATTACAATAATATACGCCACATTTGAAGGAAATTCACCAAAATAATAGCGCTTTAACAACACCGAAAACAACACGTCTGAACTGTATAATGAAGTATTTGAAACTGTGAAATACTATTTTCTAATGCCAAAGTTTTATCGGGGTGTATTTCTTCCGTATGCACGTGCTTGAAACTCACAACCGATGTGTTCCAAGTAATAATGTTAAAGTATACATTTAGTAATGACAACCAACGTCCTCTATGATACATTAAACTTTACTGGCGGTTGTGAACATTGCAGGCGTTCTAGTTATACAGGAGGTTTTAACTTGCTCGATACCGTGAATGTTAAAGTATACATTTAGTAATGACAACCAACGTCCTCTATGATACATTAAACTTTACTGGCGGTTGTGAACATTGCAGGCGCTCTAGTTATACAGGAGGTTTTAACTTGTTCGATACCGTGAATGGATCCGTGTATCAGATTGCTTTAGTTTTTTTTTTTTAATAGTCAAGTCTCCTTTTGTTGAGAAAGTACACAGGATGGAGGATTAACTAATGTAATACGAAAAGGGGACCGAAAAACGTCGAATTGTGACAAATGCTGTGAGAAACCTGGTGAAATCATTACTGATCGATCTTCTTCAACGAGAGAGAGAAGACACGGACTCCAACAATACACATGACGTGAGATGTCATCATCTATAAATTATTAAAGAAATGAACAACAACCGTAGGTTTTAAACAATGAAAACCTAGGCAGGTGCTTACTGTCTCCAGATATAGAGCAATAGAAAAAATGGGAGAAATATTTTAACTTAGCCATAATTAAAGATATAACTAAAAAACTCGGGCAATTACTGAATAAGTTATAATAACTTGGCCATATTTTTATTTATTCCAAAGATATTCGGTTATGAGGTGTATTTAGTATTCAAACACTTCTAGATATAGATAACCTGATTTGAAAGTAGCTTATGTTATTAATTTTTTTAATCTATTTATAGATCAATTTAAATTTATACTTCTGCAAGTCGAAAGTATTTAACTTTTAATGACTTTTTGATAGTTCTTATAAAAGTCAATTGATTTTGAGAAATGACTATAACAAAAGATACGACAGAATGTCTAGCTTGGTTTACGATACAATCGTTTTGATTTCTTGTTTTTGTTAAAACAATAAATCTTTCTAAATAATAAATAACGAAAAACAAAAATTTTCCATTTCAAGATATTTGAAATATATTTTAAGCACTTAGGTGTTTAAGGTCTTGCTCTCCTTAAAGGTGAAAATGATATGTGATAGGATAACTTTAAAAAAATTTTTTGGGCGATTTCTCATCATTTCAAGACCACAGAAAAAAAGCAAAAAAAGCAAACAAAAAAAGCAGGGAAAAACATTCTTATCCATCTGGTGCCATCACGTCCATTAGTTAAATATATTTCTGTATAATGATCTTCTTAAAGTTGAAAATAATATGTGATGGGATAACTTTAAGAAAAAAAACAACAAAATTTCACGCTTTCTCATCATTTCAAGACCACAGAAAAAAAAAGCAAAAAAAAAGAACAAGAAAAAAGAAAACATTCTTACCCATCTGGTGCCATCACGTCCATGAAGTAAATACATCCCTGTATAATAGAAAAAAATGCAGTATTTAAATACAACAAATACATTTGAGTACATAAGTAAGCAAATCAACATACTTTTTCAGATAGAATAAGTTCATATTTATTTTCTAATTAAACCAATTACATGTGATATATGTTATCATGTGTCATTAATTTACTGCAAAAATTGTCTTTCCTTAAAGTCAATTGACTCTTATAAGAGGTTTAGTTGAAACAAAACATCTGTATTGGAAACCTAATATTACATTAGAGATAACTGTTTAAATTGGAAATTGTTTTCGAAAGTTCACATTATAAGGAAGATTCATTTTAAAAATGTAAAGGCTCTTAATTTTCTATTTTTTTTCCCATCATCATCTTAGTTCTAGTCAACGTTAAGCATGTTTTTGGTAGTTGAAAGGGTGAGGATGTTTGGTGGGACGGGGATTCGAACCCACGACCCGCAGATTACGAGTCGAGCGTCCTAACCACCTGGCCATACCCTGACTTTTGGTTACGGAAATAGAGAACAACTACCTTTTAAAAGGTATCTTATGTTTATATATATATATATATTTGTGTATGTGTGTGTATATATATATATATGTGTGTGTGTGTGTGTGTGTGTGTAGATATATATATATGTGTGTGTGTGTGTGTGTGTGTAGATATATATATTTACCTAGATAGATAAAAAGATTGACACATGTATATATGATAAGTACTATCTTTTTGCCCATTGTAGCAAGACCGGTTCTTATTTAATTTGTAAATTACACTCCGCCTTGGATTAGAAACAGCCGTTGAATTTACACTCTCTATGCTATATCACTAAGGCCTTCTATCAGAGCATCAAGCTATGCAGTATAGGTATACACAGAGGCACGACATTCCAATAAATATCAGTTAATAGAAATGATATTTAAATGTAAGGCGGCTGTTATGAAAATGAGAATGGATAAGTGATATACCTAGAAAACAAGCGAAATTTAAAGAAAATTACAAAATTTATCAATAAAACAAATATGTATTTACACATGATATCCTTTTCCATTTCAGATGAAGGTATTGCTACAGAAAACAACAACAAAAGAATATCTAATCATTATATTAAATACATCTTTAGCAGGTTTATCTTTTAGGGTCCTGGTGAAACTTAACTTTCATTCTTTTACGTGGGATAATATCCTTGCTTATCTCAAGTTTTTCCCTTTTCTGTTTCATTCCACAGAGGTACTTGGAAAGAATAACGATATTAGTTTTTTTTAAAGCCAACATGTCGTCGCTCTGTCTGTTGATTCTCTACGACATTTTTATTAGCCAGTAGCCTATAGTCTGATGTAATGTAGCCTAACACAGTCTAATATGCCAATAAAACGTTTCCCGCTTTATGTAGTGATGTTTTTTAAGACTAAAAAATATTTTTTTTAAGGCTGTATGTTAATTTTTAAAGCCTGTAAAATAATATTTGTTTTTAGTGAAATTAAAAAGTTTTGTATTCTGGTGAAAATAAGTTCCCCTGCCTTGCAATTATAACATTATTAAGGGAGTGCACATTCCAAGTATAATAAAGACTGAGAGTATGTTTTAATATTTAATCTGTTATATAAGACTGGTTTGATATTTTTTAGTTCAAACAAATTTATTAAAATAATCTTTTTTTTTTTTTTACTAAATAGTCCTGGACTGCCAAAGCTAACACAAAGAGCTATCTATACTCTGCCCACCACGGGTATCGAAACCCAATTTCTAGAGGTATAAGTCCGCAGACATACCGCTGTACCACTGGAGAACATTTTTTAAACTGTCCACAACAGGTATCGAAACCCGGTTTCTAGCGTTGTAATTCCGAAGACGTACCACTGTGCCAGTGGGGGGCGTTACGTTCGAACAGCATGTATGAGATCTACATTTTGACATTGTTTGGCACTTCGTAGGAAGTAAAATAACACTAAAAACAAATATATTTCGGGAACAGTGTGTAGCAGCTTTTTCCTACGCAAAATATTCGTGCATCAAATCAAAGATGTGTTCAGATCGAGGATTATGAATTTCCAAGACTGGGGATATCTTTTATCCTTAATGGTATTAGAAAACAAAAAAATATGGATCAATTTGGGGATATTTAGGAGATATTTTATGCGAATATATCTAGAGGATAATCCACAAATCATGTGCACAAAAAAGGAAGGATGACGATAACGTAAATCGATTGCAGGAATATCCAGTAGTGAATTATCCACAATTGAAAGCGCTGTGCAAATTTAAACAATTGATCTGAATAATAATTTGTTGGGTAAATAGAGAAAGTGTATGCATATAAATATAATAGTACCGTCTGTTGTCTGTCCACGTAACTACTTCGCAAGATGTGGATAGATCTTTACCAAAATTAGTATGGAGGTTTATTAGGTTCATGCGGGGGGTACATACAAATTTTCAGTTTTGCATTTTGCGTTTTACGGTTTTTATGAGCGTTTTTTTACCACTGCTTCACTCCCTGTTGATGGATATTCACCACATAATAGTACTGTCTGTTGTCTGTCCACGTAACTACTTCGCAAGATGGAGATAGATCTTTACCAAAATTAGTATGGAGGTTTATTAGGTACATACAAATTTTCAGTTTTGCATTTTGCGTTTTACGGTTTTTATGGGCGTTTTTGCGATTTTTTACCACTGCTTCAGCCCCTGTCGATGGATCTTCACCACATTTGGCCTGAAGGTTGTTGGGTTCACGCGGAGATACATGCAAATTTGCAGTTTCACATTTTCTGTTTTGCAGTTGTTATGGGCGTTTTTTTTACAATTACATGTAAGGGAAGCAACTTTTCATATCTTAAGATGACCTTTCATTAATTATGAATTAAGATAACGTCCGTCTAGGGACGGGTACTCCAGCTAGTATATATATATATATATATATATCAGGTATTTTTAATCAACCTAAAAGGACCAGAGAGATTACAATAGATAATGTACAAAACTAATCATGCATAACTACTTAATGTGAATAATAAACACATTCATGTTAAATCGAAAAACAATTGACTGTTGTTATTGTTTTGTTTTAATAACACTAGTTTTTCATACAATAGATTATGTAGATTGGTTTCAATATCGTCAAACCTTAGAACATAAAACACAAATAGATGTATATAAGTTCATATACAAGCTATAGAAGTATTTTATCTCTCAGATTGTTCTACATTATAATCAGTTCATAATTTTACATTTTCTGGTTGATTGTAGTTGGTATTTTGTTCCTGATCTACTTGTATACCATCCTCCTTCAGTAACTGAGATAACATTTTCAGATCCTTCTGAGACTTACGAAATGCTTTGATTTAGTCGTAACTACCAGCGATTATCTATACGTTGTTCATCACAAATTTGAAACGCTGATACGTTTCGCAGTGAGTATTTAAAACGAAATAGTAACGCTGACAATAAAGCAGTAACAATGATTTGTTTCACATTTAAGTGTAGTATCTTCCAGGAAAACAAAACGACTGAAACTAAACTGGTACTAAGAAATCTGACTTTAGTAAATATCCGATAATTCAAGTAACCAGGAAAATAAAACGACTGAAACTAAATTGGTAATAAGAAATCTGACATTAGTAAATCTCCGGTAATTCAGGTAACCAGGAAAATAAAACGACTGAAACTAAACTGGTAATAAGAAATCTGACTTTAGTAAGTATCCGATAATTCAGGTGACCAGGAAAATAAAACGACTGAAACTAAACTGGTAATAAGAATCTGACTTTAGTAAATATCCGATAATTCAGGTAACCAGGAAAATAAAACGACTGAAACTAAACTGGTAATAAGAATCTGACTTTAGTAAATATCCGATAATTCAGGTAACCAGGAAAATAAAACGACTGAAACTAAACTGGTAATAAGAAATCTAACTTTAGTAAGTATCCGATAATTCAAGTAACTAGGAAAACAAAACGACTGAAACTAAACTGGTAATAAGAAATCTGACTTTAGTAAATATCCGATAATTCAGGTGACCAGGAAAATAAAACGACTGAAACTAAACTGGTAATAAGAATCTGACTTTAGTAAATATCCGATAATTCAGGTAACCAGGAAACTAAAACGACTGAAACTAAACTGGTATTAAGAAATCTGACTTTGGTAAATCTCCGGTAATTCAACTAAGGAAAAAATGCTCATTTCATGCAATGATGGCATAAAAGAAAAGACAAAAAAGTATACTGTAAAACTCTCTGAGATAAATTTCAAGTTAAAAATATATCGCGGTTTTAGGTAGCTAATAAAATAAAAACACAAAATTATTCAACACTTTCTGATACGTTTTATTTTAAAACACCAGTGGTGTTCAGAAAGAAACGGAAATATATTTTCTGTATGTTGGATATCAGTAAACTGAGGCTAACAAATGGTTGTATTAACAGGTCAACATCCGCGTGTTATTAGCGACGTCATGTGTAAGGTATTTCCATGATAGGTCGTGTGGAAAATAATTATAAAAACGCTACTGGAGGGACTACGTAGCTGTTGACACTGGTGGAGCTTATACTCACTCGTGCTGTATAAATCAAGATGGAAGAGCTTCGATTTCAAAATGACAAGCCAGAACTTATATCCTTGAGTATCTAATAGATGCAACTGAGAAATTCAAGTAGGTAATCCTTCCCTATTCTGAATGTAGTTCCTGAGCCAGAATCATGGGATTATCCAATCTATAGTCCTCTTAATAAGGATCTAAGTAGATACACGTATTTAGATTTGTTATGGTATGCCTATATCTTTCCAAACCAATATGTTAAGGCTTAAATAAAGCACCGTGTTTAAAAGAGGCCATTTTTAGAAGTGGTGACTGGTTACTGACGTCTTTAATACCATTAGTTGGCTTACAGGAACTAAATTTCCGTTTGTTTGTTTTTCCGAATACGTCGATCAGTATTTGATTAATGAGGAATACATATTAAGCATACTCTACCCAAAGCTTTAATATCATATTTATTGTGTAAAGGTATATT